CTTTTTAATGATGCATGGCATAACATATGCAAGATTTACCATGGATCGCTGCTCACCCGGCCAGCGGAAGCTGCAGCCCCATCTGTGGGTCCTGCAGGGCTGTGTCAAGGGGCATGTGCCAGGGTCAGACCTCAGGTGTAAAGGCTGGATGATATTTTCACAGAAGGGACTACTTGAAAAACAATTAGGAAAAGTGGATCATTCTGAGGATTGAAATAATACGAATAGGATAAGATTCAACAGTACAGCATTCAGAATTATCGCTTCAGAAGATAACAGCAGGTTTTAAAGCTCTCCCTTGACAGTTCGTCTGCAGGAAAGAGTCGAAGAAGGCAACTTTTTGGTTTGATTAGTCCATCACAGGGGGAAAAAAAATCCAACAGAGACGCTCTGAAGCTGTGGACATGGAAGAGGCAAATAATTCAAGTCAGGAGTTTTCTGTGGAACTGAACTAAAATGTACTGAGAAATAGGACTTCACCTGAAATACTACTTATAAGGTTGTTGCCTATTGTATTTTATCCAGCGCAGGTGTCCCAGTGCCTGTGGCAGCAGTTTGGGGCTTCTACAGGGGAGCACAGCTGAGCCCCTCAGCCAAAGGCAGGCTTTGCTTCGGGGAAAGCCGGAGGGAGAAAGGGCAAAATGCTGCCCAGCAGCCAGGGCTGAGGGAAACGCTGTGAGGAACAGCCCCGTGAATGCCAAGGGGAGAGTGGGAGGAGGAAAGGGGGGTTCCAGGCCCCCCACAGAGATCCCCCTACTCACTGCAGCCACCCATTCCCCATCCCACTCTGCCCCTTGGGCAGGACGAGGTGGCAGAATTGAGGATGAAGGAGTGAAGTTGAAGCAGCGAAGTGGTGGCAGGGGGAAAGGAGTTGTTTTAGTGTTCGTCATTTTGTTTCCCACTAGCTTTGCCAGTAGGTAAATATTTGTTTTCATTTGCCACAACTGAAGCGTATTACGCCCAAATCAAATCTATTCCACCTATGATGGTAGTTGGGACGTGAAATCCCTGTCTTCAGACCCATGTACCTGTCCTTCCTATTTTCTCCTCTCATTCCCCTGAGGCGGTGAGTGAAGAAGCAGCTGGGTTGGGGTTTTGCTTTTGGCTGAAGTCAAACCCACCACGCAGGCGAGGAATGACTTAGAGAACTCACATTAATGGCAGTTGAGAATTATACCGAGCATGAAGGACACAAATGAACAATGTGTGAGTAATGGGTAAAATGGGTAAAAATGGGTAAAACCAAGATGGATGAATATATTCACATCACACACTTGAAGGGGGAGATTTTTAATCCACAAATCTGAAAATCTCTTCTATGAACAAAGTGAGTAAAAATACGAAAACCAGCTAGGACAACAGAATCCTTTGAAACAAAAAAAGCCAAGCACTTGCAATTCATAACCTGGCTTATTGACAGTGAGTATCTGTAGTATCAGTAAATGGTTCCTGTGACATGGGAAGTCTCTTTTATTTTAATAAGTGAGAGAAGTATTTAATCCAAAGGTAAACCCCTTGGATACCTGAGATGTGATTGAAGGGATCAGAATATTAACTTAGATCTGAATTAATTTCTGGGCAAGAATGAAGATTCCATCCCTAAATGTATATTGTCTGAGAGCTCCTTCCAGTGGGATTGAGATAGCAATTTTTTTTCAAGTCTCCAAATGGTACAGCATATTATGAATAATATCAGGACCAAAGTTCTTCACCAGAATTCAGCCTGAGAATGAAGGAGCCCCTGATGAACACGTATAATAGGATAAGTTTTACAGCAAAGCCATGTTAGAATTACGTCAGTAGAATGTACTATGTACATCTATTAAAGGCATAACTGGAAGCATTGATTTTGCTGCACATGTGAGTCCGTCAGGGCATTTCTCCTCACTTCCACATGACAGCGTGTTTCGGTAGTAAAGGGGATCGTGGATCATCATTCAAAATCCACTTTGCTGAGACCAACTACAGCCTCCAAAGTGCTTTTTGGAGTCTTTTGCTTTGTTCAAACGCTGCTTCAAAGCTAAAGACATGTCCCTCTTGAAGATGGACATTTGCTTCAAAGGTTTTGTGTGTTACATTACAGCTAGTTATCGGGAAAAGGGAAGAACACTACTAAAATTTCCCAGCTCGAGCAAAGAGTGCTGTCTAGGAGGCTGAGCAAATCCATTAGCCCCTTTTCTCCAGCAGGAAATAAATCCTTACATCTGTAAAGTAGAGACAAAACTACTTCCTTGCCACCTAGGAACACTCCATGGTCACATAACATGACTGAAATGCTAAGTGCTGAAGTGATCAGGGTCCAATTTACTTGAAGAAAGAAATCTCACTTTTGGGGAAGATTTTCAAACACAAGAACAAAGCTGCAGCAAATTGTACCATCCCCACTCTCCAGCAAGCTAGATGAGCTTATTTTTCTTTCATAACACTAATTTCTCTGCCTCACAGCTGGGAAGCTGCTAGAACTATAGGCAAACAGAAAGTGATTCAGCTACTGCAGCGGTTTGAGAGGGCTGCCCACGCAGGCAGCAAAGAACCACGTGGCCACTCGCTCAGCTCTCCCTCCACTCCTGTACCCACGGGAATGGGGAGGGAGAAAATTCAACTGAAAAAGCTCAAGGGTTGAGATTAGGACAGGAAGGGTTCATTCACCACTTGTGGTCACAGGCAAAAAACAGGGTAGATTTGGGGAAAAACTTAAATTTGCCACCACCACTTATCAGCTAGAGCAGAGTAGGATAGTGACAGGAATACATAAATAAGCACAATCCAGTCTTAAATGCACTTCCCTGCCTCCACCCCGTTGCTTCTACCTGGCTACCTCTTTCCCCTCATAAGTAGGATAGTGACAGGAATATATAAATAAACACAACTCAATCTTAAATGCACTTCCCTGCCTCCACCCCCTTGCTTCTACCTGGCTACCTCTTTCCCCTCATTAGCACAAGGGAGGCAGGGGGTGGGGGATGCAATCCGTCTGGCCATTACTCATTGTCCAGTGGAACTAAGATGGGCTGTATTATTGAAATATTTATAGTTGTCTCCAGAAGAAAGTAGGTAATGTTGAAGATATATTTCACACTGCATCTGTTAGGTTGTGGCGAGAAGGTACCGGGGGTGTGTTTCAAGCAGTGTGGCATAGGGTGTGTTGCAAGTACAAGGAGAGGGTATAGAAAACCTCATTTCTCTGCTGCTGGTTTATCAAGGAATTTTGATGCACAAAGTCAAGTGACTTTCTTGCTCTCCCTGCAAGTAAATTGAAGTTAAAAATACTGAGATCTACATTAAGTCCTTCGTGCTATTTGACAGAGGCCCAAATGTTGTCACAGCTTTACAATATCCTGAAAAGCTACCCACAAGTGAAAGATCAGCTTCTGTTTGGAGAAGAATCCTACACAGCAAGATTGGGCTCTCATGAATAGTCCTTCACAGTATGTCTTTCTTTAATGAGGCAACAAGCAAGCTTGAGGTAACAAACCATTTCCAAGAAAACGAATAGGACTGTTCATCAAACTAATTCACTACTTATATAGGTAAAATCAAGCATCCAGGATTAAAACCTAAAATATCCTTTACGCTTAATTTTTACTTGTTAAATCAGAACTTTCCAGGTCTTCTGTGAGTTTCTACTACGTTTTTATATTTTCTGGGAATAAATAAATTAGTTTCTCTATGCCCTTACATAGAAGCTGATATTGTCAAAGTGTTAAAGGACATCTTCATGGAACCCTGTGTACTCACACTTATACTTTAAACACTTCCAAAGGTGCTAAAATCAGGGACCTGAGTTCCCTATTATAATCTGGAGGGGAAGAATGGCACTTTAGCATGAAACACATCAATTAGATGACTGAAAAGATGAACTGACTTCAAGTAGCAGAAACACACATGGCTGTCAGACACAGAGCATGGGTTTACAGACTCAGTAGCCATCATCCTTCCCCTGTGACAGCATTTCCTCTGCAACGCTCATATGTTCCACGGGCCAAATTTACACATCTTGACTGCTCTGCAAGGATCTTGGCAGCGGATCAGAATTCTGGGTAGCTTGTTTCTAACTGGTATGTATTGTTTTCTGGAGCACAGAGTCCTTGTCCCCCACAGCACCCCAGAACAAAGAAGGACTCGATGTTTAAACTGAAGTATTCTCTTCATCTCAGTCAGGTAAATCTCTCAGTGAATCTTTATGTTGGTGATGGCACTGTCAGTGTTAATGCTGTGCCTGCCTCATGGCTGAATGGAGGGTGCTAGTCTACCTGGTTGCCAGACTAGCAAATATATCTGGGGTTAACTGATGCTTTAGGGAGGAATTTCAACTCTACAGAAAGGAGCTCCCCACCATACAGCAATCAGCATCTTGAAAAAAAACCACCCCAAAACTCAAACATTCAATTGTCTGTGTAGCAAGCATTTGAAAAATCTTGTTCTTGTAGCCAATAACTGTAACAACACAATTGCTTTTTGTGGAGCAGGAGGAAAAGAGTTCAAAATGAATGAAAACAACTTGTTGGTAAATCTGCTTTCTAATTCCAGACAACCTCTAATTCACTAATAGAAAAACATATTCTCTATTTTAAGCTGTATGTAATGTAATCGAGAGCTATAATTACTTCAACAGAATAAGGAACAGTATCAGACAATTTGTACTCTAAGTCAGGCAAGTTATTTATTTTGTCAGCAGTTGGAACACACAGCTGCTGTTTGTTAGCATTTCACATAGCTGTTTGTTAGTATTTCACATTCAACGTCACATTTATTTGCTTACTTACAAACTGGTATGAAGTGTTCCTTCTCTTTCCAGCCAAATAAATTGCAAACAATAGACACCACAAACTTTTTACAGAAATATTAATTAAATGTGAATGGAATACAAGGATGAGAGGAAGGGGAAACAGAAAATGGTGCTTGCTTTTTAAGACTTAGATGAAATTCTGCTGAGAAAGGATCTAAAGGATTGGAAGTCTGTGCTGCTCGTTGCAGACACAGTAACATGTCCACCTGGTTTAATATTTGCCAGGCAAATCACAAAGCCCTCTCAGGGTACAGCAGCATATAATCTCCTTGAAGGTTTTCCTGAGCTCCTGACTCCGGAATGCATAGATAAGTGGATCAATGATGGAATTGCACATGATGAGGATGAGGTAGAAGTTAAAGTGAGACATGAAGCACACACAGTAAGGGTTGTAGGGGCAGGAGATGTAGAAAATAAGGTGAAGGAAAAACGGAGCCCAGCACACAACAAAAACCCCAATCAGGATGGTGAGAGTGATGGCCCCTTTCATGTTGGCCCCTTGGTGAATGGGGCCAGTCCCTGGGAGAACAGCAATCTTTTTGATATGCATGCGAGCCATCATAAACATGTGGACATAGAGGGATGCCATGAGAATGAGCATAGTGAAGAACATGCTAATAAGGCAGATGATGACAACACTGCTATCAGAGTAAATGATGAACAAAATGCCTGAGACTGTGCAAGCAGCCCAGATGCATGTGATAATGACCCCTACACGCTTCACTGTCATGATATTATGGTACTGGAGGGCGTAAAAGATAGTAAAGTACCTGTCCACTGCTATTGAGAGGAGGCTGCAAATTGATGCAAGCAAGGAGCTGCAAATAACTGAGTCAATGACATTGTCAATGTTTATGGTAAAGCTCTGAGCATCTGTGTCTGTATTGTTTAGCAGCGTGATGACAATAGTTTCTGATCCATTAGATACACTCACTAGCATATCAGCCACTGCCAAACTACAGATGAAGAAGTACATGGGCGAATGGAGGTTCTTGTTCTTGGCTATTGCCACAATGACCAAGATGTTCTCCATCAAGCTGATGATGCCCAGAGTCACAAACACCTCAGGGGACACAAAGAGTTGCTCATAGCAGCCTCCCAAGGAGTAGCCCTTTGCATGGGGCTCGCTGGTGCCTCCCTGCAGTCTGTAGCTGTGGTTCCAGAAATGGAGAGGCTGGAGTGTCCCCCGGTGCCGGGTGAAATTCATCTTACGGTGATCTCCTTTCAGCTTCCTGCTTTTAAAGCTCCTGTTCCTTTTGCATTCCTTTGAAAACCTTCTTTGGCTTTTCAGCTTGGAAAGAAAAGAAAAATGAGCCAGTACGGAGGCAGGAAGCAGTTCAGAACGCTTTGACTGCTGTAACAAAATAAGGTTTCAAACTCAGAAATACTGTTTTACTCTCTCACGGATGCAGTTTCTGATCATCATCACATTTACCTTGGTGATCAATGTCACAGGATCCCAACAGTCTGTAAGTCTGCATCAGGTTCTCCTCTGTGGTCAGTTCCTGTTTTGTTCAGTGGTATGCTGCAAACCTTTTTTTGCTCCCTTCCATTAAGAGAGGAAAACACAAAATGCTCAAGTGACTGCCGCAGAGCAGAAACTAATTTTAAACTGCAAGCGCTAGTCTCGCTGTCAGACAGTGCATACCGGCTGCTTTTGTGGTGTGTGGGGAAGAAAAATATTCAGGGCACTCTCCGCCTCTGCTTTGCCTTTCAGCCAATGGGACTCGGAAGCTGCAAAAAGTCGAGGGGGTGCTGATTCTTAGCCTCTCTGAAACATCACACAGCATGGCAAATTCAGATTCAGATGCAGCACAAGCTACTAGTATGTACAGGAAAGCAGATGGACTACCAGACATTTGTTTCCCTTCTTTAACTTCTCAGAATTATATTTTAATATTGATTTTTAATTAGCAATCTTACAGAATTCCTGCAGCTGAACTGATGGCTTTTTATTTTTCAGACTGATTTGCTGTGATTTACGCTTGTCCATGGCACAAAGTTGCCTTGTGTATGTGACAAAATAGGAAATGGACAAGGAAGCAAGAGAATACTTATTTCCTCCTGGTTCTCTCTCACAGATCTCCCTTGCATTGTTACCTTTTCTATGCCTTAGGTGTCCATTTGCAGCTGTGTTGTTGCAAGGTTGCATTATACTCTCTAAGCTTATAATTTTTAAGAAATTGAGATAATTCATGTTGTTGCAAGGTTGCACTGTATTCTCTAAGCTTACAATTTTTAAGAAATTGAGATCATTCAAGGACCAAAAATGGAACAAGGAGCCAAAATCACAAATGTCACAAAGTAGTTTTTCCCAGGTGATCTTCATCTTGTTTCCAGGAAGGAAAAAAATGACAGAGTTGATGGCAGAAGCCCTTTCACTGTCAGGATTTAGGATGTTGGTCAGAAAAAGAAAACTTGTTTTTTAGAATAGATGAAGGAAAGCAACAGAAGACAAAGTTTCAACTTGTAAGAAATGGAGCTTGTGCAATGGTAATGGCTCAAAGGCATCAATAAATCTCCTAAAAGTCCAACCAGACAGATGTGTCTGTTCTTACCTGGCATGATCTGAAAGCCAGTTTGTGTGCAGTCTGCCAAGGAAAGCCCTTGAGAAGAAGGAGGAAAAAAATACCAAACGAATATGAAGAGGCAGGGACAAAAGTTGTTTTGCTGCTTCTGCTTCAAGCATTGCAACTGATGATCAAAAACCAAATATACTGAACAAAGTTTAAAGTATGGGTGGATTTTAAAGCTATGGAAGGCGTAGGAAAATCAGTCACCACACCCTTGCAACTTTAGTTTGCAAGAATATTGTTTGAATGAACATTTCCAGTCATCTGTCAGGAGAGGTACAGAGGGGTTTGTATCTGATGAGAGAATGTATTTTTTTCAACCTCTCAAACTTTTTTCATCTTCTATACATTAGCTGGTTTTAAAATGATCAACTATAAAAAGATATAGGAATACAGCATGTGTGTGGAAGCACAAGAATGAAGCACGTTCTTACTTTCACACTCGGATCTCATTTGGATTTGCTATAGTTCTATGGTTCTAAAGACCTAGATCAGAAAAACAGCTGCATCTGGTTATTTCTGGGCCTTTCCCCAGACAGAGTGCTTCATAAAGCTGAAACATAAACATCCAAGAAAAACAAAATAACTTCAGGCACAGGAAATACCGTGTTTATCAGTTTGGTAAATATCATTCACCAGCATCATCCTTGCAATGAAAGAATAGCTTGCTGCTGAAAAGGGCAAGGTTTACTTTCCTATCAAGACGTAATGCAAGCCAGGATTCAAAAAGATTTATTATCTAGTTACTGACCCCTGGAGCAGTATACACTAACTCCTGCTGCAGACAGGACTTGCATACCTAACCCTTAAGGACACAGCTACAGCGCAAGAGCAGTGAGAAAATTTATATAAAGACTGACATGGGAAAGCAGCATCAACTCAGACAAGGAAAGAAAGGGACACTTTTCTTCTGCCCACAGCCATCACTCACCTAAAAATTTCTACTTATGCTCCGCATTCTCGGGGCAGGTTTGTTTTGGTGCGTTACCCAGTCGTATTCGTGGGATGAGGGTACATGATGGTGAGCAGTAGCCTTAGGGTAGCTTAGCAACTCATTTGAAGTCCTGAAGAGGTGATGTACCATTAGCTTGCTCTGACTAGAATGTAAACAAGTATGTGAACACATTTTAAAATGAAAGATGTATGCACATCTAAATACTTCTACAAAAGAAAATGGATACATGCCTCTGACTCTCACTTAACAAAACCCAAACCATATAGTGTTAAAATTGTTTAAAGGATCTTAGCTTTCTCATGGCTGAAAATATGTCAATATTTCGGGTTTTTTAGTCACAGATAATAGGAGTACCACCTCATGTACATTGCCTAAACTGTTTCTTCAGTTCTTCAGACTGAGGGAGTATTCCTTTTAAAAGTGGTGGCTGGCAAGTTATTCAGCACCATGGAAAAACAACCATGGCTGCAGAAAACTATAAAGTGGTAAAAGTATGAGCACCAGCTCTTAAGAGAAATAAAATATCAACACAGATTTGATACCAGCTTCCCCTTTTAGCATAATAAGGAATCATATAATAATAATAAAAAATATTATTTTGTCCTGTCTTTAAATTACTCCTACACAATCACCCCATGTCATGTGCTCTGTTTCCAGCTACTCCCCGAAATCCACCCTTCAGGTACGGTTACAGCCATCTCCATCTCACATTTCGAAGAGCTGAATTATCCACTGACAGTTGCTTTTGAAACTCAGAAGAAAACATTCACTGGAATGAAAAATAAACAGATAAAATCCCAATAGTCATACAGGAAGACAAGGTAGAGTTACGAGAGGGAGTCAGCACAGGCACTGCTCAACTGCGTAGCCTGGGAGCTCTCTGAATCCTGTGCCCATTTTGCTCAAGCACAGAGATGATATTTACAACTTCAGCAGCTGTCAGTGGAAACAGAGGAGGGGTTGTGAGAAGCTGGGTAGAAGGAAGAGCCAAAGAAGCAGGTTAATCAATCCCTCAGCGTTGTGCGGGTGTGCCAGCAATATGCAGAGGGTGCTGCTGTGTTTACATCCACAAGCATCATGGAAAGATGTTTTTGATAGATGTGCTTAGATACAGTTTTCCCGTGCATTCAAAACCTCTGTTGGATTTAGCTGGGTTAGAGTTAATTTTCTTCCCAGTAGCTGGTACAGTGCTGTGTTTTGGATTTAGTACGAAGATAAGGTTGATAACACACTGATGTTTTAGCTGTTGCTAAGCAGTGTTTACACTAAGTCAAGGAATTTTCACCTTCTCACCTCACCCCGCCAGGAGTAGGCTGGGGGATACAGGAAGCTGAGAGGAGACACAGCCAGGACAACTGACCCAAACTGGCTAAAAGGATATCCCAGACTATATGACTTCATCCTTAGTTTGTAATCTCCTGAAGCTCGGGAGCTGGCTGGCCATCGGTCAGTGGGTGGTGATCAACTGCACTGCACATGACTTGTTTCTATTCTTCTATTCTGTTCTATTCATTATATTATATAACATAGCATCATATATATATATCTCATATCATATCATATATCGTATTCCTTTTCTGTCATATTAAACTATCTTTATCTCAAAGCATGAATTTTATGGGTTTTTTTCCCTCAATTTTCTGTCACATCATACTGTAAAGGGAAAAGTGTGCGAGTGTCTGTGTGCTGTTCAGCTTCCTGACAGGTTAAAACCTCAAGTCCATAGCACAGTAAAAAGACTGCAGTATATTTAACATGATGATTTTGAAATATAAAAGGAGCCAAGCAGTTAAATTTTGGAAACTTCTACGAGATTTCAGCCATCACATTTTTATGATGATATTTTTATTTTTATGTTTACATTACAGCAAAGGTGAATTCCACCTAACACTCAAAATACTAAATATTGTTCAAATAATGCAATGTGCTTTTCCATCCTACACACAGGTGTAAGTAGAAGGTGCATTTCTTTGATTCTTTCTAGCTCCAGCAAAGTAGCATATGAGCAACATGGAGACACTTGTTTGTTTCTGGTTTTGGACTGGTAGTTTTTTTAAGGTGGTCCTTCAACATATGTTTTTATTTTCCAGCAAGTCTGATACAAGCATGAAGACATATCAATACAGATTTGACTACCACAAACTTCAGATGCTACTCTAAGATATATAGGGAAAAGAAGAGAACTGGCACTTGTTTTGGAAGAAATAAAGGTGATGCCATTTACACAAAGCAAAGAAAATCCACATGGTAGGTGACATGAGTTTGAGTCTGGCAGGATTTTTGGTAGCCGTGGGAGGGCTGTGGGGGATGACTCTTGCAAAACTCTCAGAGCCTTCCCCAGCCCCAGGTGAAAAATCAGACCAGCCTCTGGCCAAGGCCAGGCCAATCAGTGCCTCTGGGATCACTGTATTTAAGAGAGGAAACCTGTTGAGCCACTTGCATTTTTCTTCTGTCTCTCTCATTATTGAGGTGTTTGTGTCCTGTCTTTTGTGTCGGGGAACTTTTCTTTTTGGAGGAGGGGGAGGTGAGAGGAAAGTAAAGGAATAAGATCCATGATGAAAGGGTGGAAGAAAAGGTGCTGGAGCAGAGTTTCCCCAGACTCCCATAGTGAGTGAGATGGCAGGGAGAGGATCACCAGGGAGATCAGCCTGAGAGCTGATGACAACATGCAGGATGCAGTGGTACAAGCAGAACCTTGTCCCAGGGGGTATGAGAGATCATACAGGAGCAGAGGACATACCTGAAGCAACCCGTGACCCCAGCTGGGATGGACTCGGGTGGAGAAGATTACCTCCCGTGAGGTGGACACCACGTGGCATCAGGGGGAGACTGCGAGGAGCCTTTCCCAAGAAGGAAGAATTTCCATGGACAATGAGTTGGCCAGATGGATTGCATCCCCCACCTCCTGCCCCTCCTGCACCAATGGTGGGAAAGAGGTAACCAGGCAGAAGTGAGGGGGTGGAGGGGAGGAAGTGCGTTTAAGATTGGGTTGTATTTGTTTATGTATTCCTTCGCTATCCTACTCTGATCTAGTTGATAACTGGTAGTGGTAAATTTATATTTTTTC